CTCCCACATGCCGAAGCAAATTCTCCCCGCCCTTGGACCAAAGCCGCCGTCGAGGCGCGTCCACACAAAGCCATTGTCCAATCAAAGCTGGCGTGTTGTTTAACTGACGCTGTAAAAATAGACTTCGACGCAGCATGGGCTTCCCGTCTTCGGGTTGTTTTCCCCTAACAACCCCCCTGATGCCTTTAACATCCGTCACGTTAAACTGTGAACATCAATGGGGTTCAAACTATCTGCCCAATGAGCTTATTCCATATGCGAAAAAGATGCCTTGCATCGAAGAGGCTTCTGTGCCCGGACCACAGGTAGAATTTCTTTTAGAAAGGCCAGCCGAGGTCTATGTTTGACGCAGGTGGTACCGTGGTTGTAGATTGCGGTGTTTTAACACGCAGCAAAGTCTTAAGTGGCTCAGCACGGGTTGCGGGGGGTCGGATAGACCAGCTGCACATTTGCCAGCAAAAACACTAACAGCAAGCATTCCAGTTCCCAACACAGTCAATGTTGCCGTCGGATTCACCCTGATTTCTTCGGGGTCTCCAGACTCTTGGCTACTTGGCACGCTCAAGTTAAGGAAGCGGAATAGAAGGCTAAGGCTTTCAGGATCCGGCATTACGATAGCTCAAGATTCTCTGAGTTCGCGTACATTTCAAGCCGTGAGAACGCCGGGGAGCTCCAGGTGGTCCAAAGAAGGTGGCAAACAGAACACAGTTGCCCAGTGTCTTGTTTCGTCCCATCTCAACACCGATCATCCGGTTCGAAGTACCGGATGGCAGACAATTTTGCATGTTTCCTGCACGCGCGTACACTCGCAGAGACCTTGATTCTAGTGTCCAATGAGCAAACAATGATGGATTGAACTAACAGCATCCCAGCGATACCCTGGGTCGAGGCCGTGCTGGCGAAGCATCTGGTGGGTGAACGGCCAATGAACCTCACGCAAATGTCAGCTGAACCGTTGACTCGTCATCCAAACTTTCTACATGCCATATTGTAAGTCCCTTGCGCACAGCCGAGGTGGCCTTTTCCATCTCGTCTGGTTGTTGACGATAGCCGATCAGTCGGTATGCACGGGTGGTGGGTGAGGAACACAACATTCCATTCAATGGCAAATGAGGTGCTCCCAAATCGTCAGCTCTCCACGCAAGTTGGGCAACTGCCGATTGGCTTCCTCGAAATTGAGATACAAGCATATTCGGAAGGGAAGCGGGAGGCTTTCGACGGGGCTTGACTATGGACGAACCCGGCCTCGCCCACATGCAGTGCACCGGTGGACGAGCTGCTAAGAAGTTAGACTTTTTCCACGGAGGGACCTGGAACGCGCAATCACGATCCCTAATCCAGTGATTGCGTTACAGAAAACCCCATTTTTATACAATCCTGCAGTCTAGCTCTACAGCCCAGTCTACTCTGTACGGTCTGTACGGATGCGAATAGTCGTGCCGGTACCTAGTCCATCACCTGCAGGTGTAGTGGGCTAGTCCATTGGTAGAAGTGATTCAGATTGCTGGAAGAGAAATGAGCCGTCTATGAGATTCTTGCGTCGACCATCCAAATGTGCGCCTGAAATTTTCTCTCAGAGAATCCGGCAGGGGAAGCAGACGACCCCAAAGGCAAAGCAAAGAGTCAGGTCTGGACGAATTTGGGGGACGCTAAGCCTTCGAAGGCTGGACACTTTGCTTGGCAACTTGGCAAAAAGATCACCCCGTTCTCACTCAACAGAGCCTCTGCCTCTGCTACGACTTTGTCCACTGGGACAAAGATCCAGATCGGGAACATCCCGACAAGTGATGACTGACCCAGTCAACTAAAGAAGTCTTCGTGACGTATCCGTACTGACGGAACCAACAGTTGGTTAGCATAGCCCCCGAAAACACCCAACATTGGCGCATTGTCAAGAGTCAAGAATTTAGAGTAACAAGGTGCAAAATACAGGGATTCGACGGGAAGTGGGAACACAAACAGACTACGTACCCGGCACCTAAGCCACACCATCATGCGCTCCGTAGCCTCCGCTCCGTCGATCATCACTGGCGGCGGACGCTGAAAGGCCCAACGTTGACGCGTCGCGCTATCGGAGACTCTCCCTATTCCATCCATCCCACTCGGCCGAATGACGACGGACTGGAACTCGTCAACGACTCTCGGGCTGGCTCTGAGAGAAAGCATTTGTAATACAGCAGTCGCCATGGCGGAGCCACGAATAGATGTGGACGATCAGGATCAACCATTATCTTCGATACAGTCGGCTGGTGGGCAGTCCCTAGTCCGCCAGCTCCTTGAGATCCAGACCGCTACTATCGAGCAATCGAAATCACTTCATTTCATCCAAAACCTCGACTGTCTGTATCTTGATAAAACCCGAGACCGAAAACGCCCCCCACAAACCCGCGATTCAGCATCTGAAGATGATCGCCCTGTGTGGCTCCGCCAAAGCGGCCTGAATGCCCTCAAAGACCTGAACTATGTAGCTGTGTCTTGGACATGGGGAGCTTCAGAACCATACGAGGATTCTACAGCCGGCCACCATCTAGTACAACTCTCTAATGGAAAACGCGAACCTTCTGGGGTCCGCAACCGGGTCTTCGACCGCATACGGCGATACCTGGAAGCCCAGTCTGGCCTGCAATACGTATGGATAGATATGCACTGCATCTGTCAGGAGCCGGGCCCAGAGAAGACTCGGGGTATGCAGGCAATGGATATGGTCTACAAGCTGAGCAATCACCCCATTGCTCTGCTAGCGCGACCGATCGAATCGCACGAAGAGCTTTGCCTTCTCGCAGACGTTCTCCAGGGCAATTTTGTGTCAAAACATGCTTCTGGAGAGTTCCGCTTAAGTTCCTTCGCAGAGAGCGCCCTGGAAAGGCTTCGTAGAGCATTGTCCCTTCTCGACGCCATAACCTCCGATTTTTGGTGGACAAGAGCCTGGACTTTTCAGGAAAATTATCGTTGCGATGGACAAATGACGCTACTCATCGCTCATCCAGAAGATGGTGAAATATTCAGGGAGAAGACAAAGAAGGAAAAAGTTTTCGGTAACGTAGTGGGCGACATATCGATCTCATCTCGAGAGTTCCAGACGGAATCCACAAAACTATGCCAAGCCTGCATAATTGCAGAGGAGGATGGCAGCGTCTCCGGTCTGTCCGATGTTGCCGAACGAATTCTCAAGACAGCTCCTAATTACGAGTTCCTATTACGGGAGACCATGCCCGATGGACGATATTCTGCCCCCTGGTCACAGTCGCCGAGGATCATAAAGGATATCGAGTCCCGCGGCAGCAAATTCTGCCACGACAGATTGGCAATAGTCGCAAATTGCTGCCAATACTCCATCAGGCTAGATGACGCCATCTTGCGGCAAGGATCACACAGCATGAGTCTATCTATGCTCGCCCTTTACCTCTTGAACGGAGAGATCATGGAGAACACATGTGAAAAGAAGGAAGAGAACCGTCTTTGGATGAGATGTCGGAGGCAAACAGTCGCCGACTTCGTCACGGACCAGTCCTTCGATGACTTTTGTCCACCTCTGCTGAAGCGTCCTCTTGTCTTCAACAATGGGTGCCGATTCATTGATGTTCGGCTAACACATGAGGGCTTGAAGACCTTTGGTCATCTATGGAAGCTCGGTCGTGTCATACGGCCAGAACATTACGTGAAGTTTTATCCACATGCAAAGTACCGAAGACGACACACTCGGAGGAGCCGACGAACGCATGCCATAGAGCGTCTTACGCAGTTGCGAAATGCCCTCAGTGATATCCGCAACTATCCTATAGTGGATGAGCTGACGCGCTTTATTGATACCGTTTTACGACCGATGCAAGAGGAAACTTTCTCCAAGAATTACATGCGGATGATGGCCGAGATAGTTGTTGCGGCAATGGATGCGGAGAAGCCGCTGGTACTTGGCGGCCTGCTCGATGATCAACCGTACAGCTACTGTGGTATTTTTGTACTAGAAGACATGGAAGGGGATGAAGAGCCAAAAGGGTATGAAGATGATGATGTTGTGCTATTTGATGACCGAAGCGACGATTCAGGTGCAAGCTCTCACACCAATTATCATCATATTGCTTCCGATTCTGTGAGTGGGGGCGACTTTGAGAAAGAGTCGGAGGGCTCTTCGGAGAGCAAAGACGACGATATAGGTAAGAAAAGTACAACTCTGGTGGAATTCAATGTTGACAAGACTCAGTCAGGTACGTGTTCACTTCTTCCAAGCCGATGAAGGAGTCTTCGGAAACACTGTACCCGAACGATATTGATAAGCACGTGTCGATTGCTGTCGCTGGAGCTGTCGCTGGAAGTGACTTGGAATCGGTCGACTTTCACAACGAGCCTGGGCCCGAGCTACTCGTTCAGCGTTGGGTGAATGGGCTTTGTTTTTTCCGAGGCCATTCTCGTCGATCGGTTGTCTTCCCATGGCATCCTGCGTTGAGAGAAGACTTCAGGATCTAAACACTGTACTTGACCTTATCATGAACTACTCTGCAACTGATTAAACCCGGCGTCGGATTACTTTACTCAATGCACTTCCAATTTCCTGGACGGTTTTGACTCTCAATCATGGTTGCAGCCTTTTTCAATTAAGGTACAATGAATAATCTTAGAAAGCCAGGAAACGGCGATGCAATCTGGAGGAGAAGCTTGATTCTACATGTGTAATGATTGAGGAGCGATGTCAACTTGACAATCGAATGTAGTCTCTCATACCATCATGCCTGGTTGCGAACCATCATCTTTCAACAAAGCCTTCGCTATCGAGCTATGTATAGGCAAAAGCTCGACCTCTAGGCTCCATGACATAGTGAGCTACGGGGAACAGGTCACGCTGCCGTTGTTCTCGATGCAGCGCCAATTGTTTGGGCAACGCTGTAGAACGACCCAGTTGCCAGAGGCGTCACAGACCGCGGGAAACACATTTGATCTATTGCAAGTGATGAGCTCGCATGAATGCTGGGTATACAGAGTATGGGTTCAAGAGGCTAAAAGACTCACCTGCATTGGTAACGGCCGGGTGTGCATTGCTGCGCTTCAGCAAGTGCTGCGACGATGGTAAAGATGGAGACAACGGAGAAGCGCATTTTCGCTGAAATTCATGTCAATCTTGATGTTTGTGAAAATGAGTCACGTTGTTTTCTGTATGAATCACTTACTCTGTTGAGAATGTCGGTTTTGGAAACTATTCGCGAACCGCTGAGAAAGTTCAAGTCTGCGTGAGTCTGGTTAAGCACAAATCCGACTCTAGGGCATAAGCTACACTTTTATAATCCCACTGAAAGATGAGTATCCAGAGTTGAATCATATCATGATTGGAACGGCCGAGGTTACTCAATACATCACGACGCCCGTCTTCTCCCCTCTAGGCAGCATCACAGCAGTTGCCGTACGTTTACCGATGAAGCCTTGATCCTCGTTCAACAATTTGCCACCAAACAGAAGAATGTGATGCGCCTTGCGATGAGCGAAAATTACTAGGATATAGGTACGAGACGCTCAATTGCGCAATCGTTGCCAGAGTCTGACTTGATGCAAGCCTGTCAGCAAATCGCAGCAGTAGTGCAAGTTGAAGCCGTTAGCCTCACCGCTCGAATGCGAATCGTCAAGTATGCTGAGGTCGCCGATATCTGTAAGAAGGTCCCCGAAGACCTGCCACTTCCAAGTATAAGAGAAAGCTTGGGTTCCACCATGCGCGGTGTTTTAATGTAGTTGAACGCCTGGTCCTTGGCTAACTCTAGGCAGCAGCTTCGTAACACCCGAATCAGTATAGTCACCCGGTAAGCAGATCCTTCAATGCGGGATAACACCCCTTTCATTTTTACGAGATTGAGCGTGCGTTTTAATTTCTAGACTGAGAGTTCTGGGCAAAGATCCCCCGATCGTAGATGTCTTTCATTGAAGTTGGGTTACATTGACATCGTGTGTACGGCTAACAACTTCACCTGTCGCTATCATGCAGCGTATGGGCTGACTGGATAATTGGGGAAACCCATCGACGTACACTTGATTCTGTAGAATGACGTTTGAGCATTTGAATTTTGGTATGAGTGAATGATTGTATTACTCCTAGATTTGGCCAACGATACTACCTTGCTAAACTTGTGACCACTTAAGTCGGAATCTGAACTCATGTCAATGGAGGATACCCAGTTCTCCTAGTCTCTACTAGTCTCATAGTTGCTGATTCTATGAAAGCGACGTTCAATGTCACCAGACCAGTCCCGAGTGTGTTTTCATGGCGAAAGTCAAAGTCATTGAAAGGTGTCGGTTTCCTGAAAGAAGATACACGAACCTCTAGAATTGTGCTTTGAAGGAAAACTTCGACAGCACTCACCGGATAATTTTCAATCAATATTTAAGCGCAACGTACTAAGAGGCTTGTAGAGATTACATCACAAGAGTACACGTGAGGCGGTGCTGGAGGTAAGTCTACAAAGAGGCCTCTGAAGATGGATCACCGTACTTAATTTATGATCTCCTTCAAGTTGGGACCTTCGTCTGACTCTTCCAGCTCGAGAGTGTGTGCCATAATAACAGTTTCTGAAGTGATTTTTCTCAAGTTATTGCAACTACCGCGAGAACATGGCAGCTTGGTCGGCGCCAGCACGCATTGGAATAAGAGTGAACAACAGTCCCGCCACTCCACAGCCTCCTCTTGGTGTAGTTGGTTCATCACGTTCGACTGTAATGGTTTATCCACATCCATCGAAAGGTCTCTAGTTCGATTCTGGAAGAGGAGAGGTGTTCTTTTTTTGTGTCTCATCCTTGAACAAGGCGGCTGAATATCATAGCTCTCGTACGGGACTAAAAAGCTGAAGAGATTGAGAGTGATTTCTTTAATATTAAGAATTTGATCCATGATTTTACAACATTTTTGTGCAATGACCCAGCCGAAATAGGGAGAGTGGAACTATGTGGGCGGTCAAACTTCTGCTCATGTTGACTCCATCTACCTAAACAGCATCGTAGTGGGACTCAGGGCCACCATCCACTGCGGCTTATTCAAGACTCATCGCACAAGATCCTAAGGGCGTTTTAAGTCAGGCAACACGAGGTCAGCAGACCGAGCCTCCGAACAGCTTGAAGATTCCAAGAGCGCCATCAGTACACTGAAAGTCGTGGCTTGGTCCAAGTTCAGTTTTCTGGCTGTAATGCATCTAGGCACGTGCCAGTTTGACATCCAGCGTAGTACCTTACTTATGGGACAAGTTTTGAAAAGTAATCTAATTTACCCACTTAGGGATGGTGGCTACACTTACCCAATGTGGTTAACGAATCCATACATAGACCGCGGTTGTTGAATTGTGCACTACTGTTATGAAGAATTCATTATTTCCTCTATTCTCTTACTTTGTGCATGCTGCTTAGATAATCGCGGTCAATCTGGTGCGGTCCCGCCTGCCTTTGGTGCGTTCACGGAGTAAACCCTCTTGACCAGACTGGAGTCATCAACACGCATCACGGATACTGTAGATCATATCACTCCATCAAGTCCTGTTGTTAGAGCCTTTTGAAGTCGACTGGCCCCCAAATTTCCTGGGAATTCTGCCCCAAAACATACGATGCTCCATGCGATAAGGCCGGCGCGATAGCCTTGCGCAGACTCTGTCTCATCTCAAAATTGAAGATCTGAAGCCAATTGCAACAAGCGTGACAAGACTTTAGGCCTGGTCTCTGGTTATAGTAGGTGCCATGCCTTAATATCAGAGAAAAAACAAACACGCGCAATGCCATTTCGCTCCAACTATCTATCCTGAGCTGGAAGTTCTTCAATGTTTTGACTCGTGCTAGCCTGTATGCTGAATCGCTGACTGGTTCTTTGTGGGAACTCCAACTACCTAATGAGAACTCCGATGGACGCGTTCAACGTTCGGAACCCAACGCGGAACTTGTCGAGGCATCACCACATTGAATGCTCAGCCGGCGAACGGGGGATCTTCTGTCGCCTTGGAAAATAGTGAAATCTGGCTCTCACGAGACCGATGAGTTCTGAATTCCGAGAGATGCTGAGATCTCGGTGCAGCCGTCGGAATGGATTTGTGGAGGACCAATCAGTAAGCGGTAATGCTATCCCAATTGGGCCATGAAGTGCGCCGCCAGCGCTATCAGATGATGTGCAGAGGAGTGATTTGAAGGAAGAGGAGCAGCGAGTAGAGAAGAACTTCCGTAGAACATACTCCTTAGTTCTTCAATCCTTCATGTATATATCTCCTGCGACATGTCCCTTGCGACGAGGTCGCAAGGGCCTGTCATCCAGACTCGGACCCAACTTCATTGAAGATCGTCAACGCCCCTTATCTTGACCCTCAACAACCTCCCTTTGATAGCCAAGTATGGCGGAATGGGAACAAATTGCTCGAAAGCACTTCGAGGAGCAGAAGAAGAAGATACCCTCGGACTGGCTTTTGAACAATGACAAGTTAGAACAGCTTCGCGGCGCCGGCACGGCACAGGAGGGCCGTCTCACCGATCTTCAAGCAGCCAAGAAGTCAGGCATTCTCGAAAGCAACGAAATAAACATTACCGAGAATTACACAGCTCGTGAGCTTTTGGGACACCTTCGCCAAGGAACACTCAGCGCAGAGAGAGTCGCCACTGCGTACTGCAAGCGAGCAGCCGTTGCCCAGCAGTTGGTGAGTATTTGGACATTTGCTTGCAACTGACAGTCCGCTTCGCAGAAGTAACAGGCTGATTTTGTGTTATGAATACTAGACGTCCTGCCTCACCGAGATCTTTTTCGAAGAGGGAATCGAAAGGGCCCGGTGGCTCGACAGGCAGTTGCGAGAAACAGGCAAAGTTGTTGGTCCGCTCCACGGCTTGCCAATCAGTTTAAAGGTAGGACAACACTACGTAGCCTCTGACTTTGAGTCCGGCGACAAAGAATAGTCCAATTGACATCATTCAGGACAGCCTTCACGTAGATGGGCACTTCGCGTCTGTCGGATATGTCGCGTTTCTCAAGCAAGACCGTCCCAAAGGCAATGCTGCCCTTGTCAAGCTGCTTCTTGATGCAGGAGCAATTCTCTAGTAAGTAGACTTAGCAGACGAATCGCTTCACCAAGCAGATCTGACGATAGGAAATCTTGCTAGTTGCAAGACCAATATTCCACAAACGATGATGGTAGGCGTCCTACGCAGACAAACCAACCCCTAGACAATATTTGCTAACGTAGTATCTCCAGACCTGCGATTCCGAGAACAACATCTTCGGCCGAACACTCAACCCACATAATACAAGGTTGACAGCTGGTGGCTCTAGCGGAGGCGAGGGAGCGCTTGTCGCGTTCCGCGGATCACCCCTGGGCATCGGTAGCGATCTGGCCGGTTCTGTACGCATCCCAGCTTTCTGCTGCGGCGTTTATGGCTTCAAGCCAACCGTGGATCGCATACCGTTCGCAGGACAGTCTCTCTCTCCATGGCCCACGAATTGGATGTCCGCTGTGATGCCTGCTCTTGGTCCGTTGGCCAACTCCGCCGACGACTTGTCGCTCCTCATGGAGGTCGTAACTAAGCTCAACCCATGGAGATACGACGGCAGCGCGATCAATCTCTCCTGGAGAACCCTAGACGAGCCTCGATCGAAGCCCTTGACGATTGGGGTCTTGCCCGAAGACCCCGAATATACCCTACACCCTCCTGTACGCAGGAGCTTGGCTGAAGCCGCGTCCGCTCTCGAGAAAGCTGGACACAAAGTTGTCCATCTTGCAACGGATGCGAAGCGTAGCGTGGCCCTCGGCGCAAGGATCTCGTACCAATACTTTAGCATTTCAGCGCCAGCTGTTGCTGACTTTGGAGAGCCTTTTGTTGCCTCTGTCGCCAAAGGAATGCATCCCTTCTCTACTGGAGACTTTCCTGTCGACCCGAAGCTGGACATCCCAAGCCAGTTCACAGGACTGAACATGGCTCGCGCGGCCTATGCCCAGTCATGGAGCCAGACCTGGCAAGAACACGACCTCGACATCGTATTGGCCCCTGGGGCATCCTGCACTGCCGTGCCACACGATACCTTTGGCCTCCCCGTGTATACAGTCATGTGGAGTTTGATCGACGTGAGTGTTTAACTACCCCGTTGCTTAGAAATCCTTAGTAGTATTCTCATAGGTCGCTAATGTAACATTGGACAGTTCCCTGCAGCGGTCATTCCCTTTGGCACCGCGTCCGCGACGCAAGACTCTGAACCACAAAAGGCCATCGCGGACTTTGTGCCTGATTGTAAGATCCTTCCCCGATCTTCCGAACAAGAAACTTGCGCTGATGTCTCGAACCTTTGAACTTTCAAGACGTCCCCGAAGCTACTGATGGTGCACCTTGTGCAATCCAGATTATCGCTCCGCGGTTCCGCGATGAAGAGTGTTTGGAAGCTGTGGGCGTCATTGACAAGATTCTCAATGCTTGACAATGAGAGCAACACCTGGGCAACATATAGAGTTTGCTAGCCCACTCTCCACCCTCAAGGTAAGGTAGAAAGACAATACTACAGCAACTGCGCAAAATAACGTAATGCCCCAACAAGTACTACCGCAAGCTGCCGAAAAGGAACTTGTGACCCGACGACGCCATCCTTGCCAACCATCCTTTGTTGCTTGAATACCCGGAAATCTGCTATGCACCGTTTACCGTGCGTGGGGTTCGGCAGTGCTACGCTCGAGTAGCCACCTATACTCGCTAATCAGTGCGGTCTAACTTTATGTTCTTAGCCCTGAATCATGCTGGGAATTCCGTAGTCTGTGCTCCGTTTGGCCAGTCCCAATGTCCCCTGAATCGAAGCAGCCACAGAGGCTAAGCTCCCATGCCGGCATCTTTGTCCATTCTACTTCTCCGTGTGCGTGTGTGTATTTTGGACAAAACATCCATTTGTCAACGGCTATGAAGCCCATCTTGAGCTGCCACTCTAGAGATTTGAGAGACCAAGATGCAACGTGCTCGCGGCGGTTGTATGAGCTGTCGGCGGCGGAAACGAAAGTGTGACCGCCGCCGTCCGTTTTGCGAAGCCTGTACTCAACGAGGGATCCAATGCCCTGGATACTCAACGCCCCTGCGCTGGGTGGATGGTGCTGCGAATCACTCCTCTGCCGGCGAAGGTAGCAGCAATGCTACTAGCAATCCAGCCGGATCCAACACTCTCGCAAGTCAGATCGCACTCCCGAATCGCCCCAGCCCTCAGGTACAGACGACACATGTTACGGATGAGCTTTTCCATAAGTGTATGCCACAACTGCGCGTGTCCCAGTGCTGACTCGATGAGATATATCACGTTGAGCTCGCTAACAGGGAGTGACGCTTACAGTTCTCCGCACAGGCCTCATGAACCTCTACAGCACATCAGTGTGCTCATGGGTCCAGCCGTTCTTTGTTGAGATGTCTGCCAAGAGCAAATCTCTAGTATTGCTATCTTCCGCCATCCAAGCCTATCTTGATGAAGGTAGCTCGGACATGTCTGTCTCCTCAATGGAGTACGTTGACACTGCTCTGAAGGAGTTTCGGCGCGAAATCGTGGCCCATTACGATGTTATGCCGGCTGCCACGGCGTGCTCTGGCGTACTGCTGTGTGTTCTTCAAGTAAGTGACCCCGATGATAGCCGACTAAGTCCGGCGGACGCTGGATCGCACCACTACCAGTCCCCTCCTTCGACCGCAGATGTCCAGACATGGCATAGATCTTTCAGCTAAGCGAATGGATCACATAGTTCCTTCAAGCCCAACCGTGTACACCCGTCATTGGACTACTCGCCGAAACCTTCCATCTGAATGCTCCTATATCATATCTCAATCCCAATCCCGAGCATGACCTCTCAGTACGGCATGCCTTGGAATTCATCGGTCTCATGGACATGCCCTGTCTCGTACTAGGAAGAAAGTGTCCCTCTCTCGGTATTTGGAGACGCTTTCGACAAGTTCAAGACTCCTGGAAAGGGGGAAGAGTCAAGGCCTTGGAAGTCATCACTGGTGTGCCGCATTCGCTGTTGGATATCTTCGCCGACACCCCGTTCGAGACGGCGGAGGTCTCCATAAGTCGGTTCTGGGGATGGCCAGGTGAAATGGGCGAGTACGTTCAGTGCTTGTTGTGGGATTGTTGGCGGTTTGCCGGTATGCTTCACATCCGCAGACGCGAGCAGCGTATTATAAACGCGACACAGAAAGACGGCCAATTCGTTGGCGACGATCAGCAGGACGCACTGCCAAGTTCAGAAATTGTTCTATACCGTCTAGTATCAGGACTTCATCTCTTTTGTGTGGCGTGTCAGCTGCCCGAGAATCAGCATCTGTTGTGCCGCAATGGCATCGTCTTCCCTCTGATAACGGCATGTCTCGAAACTCGACTCCTTAAGCGGCATCCTGACTGGAAACAAACTGTGGATGACGTGCTGTCGGCTGCTAAGAAGAGGTATCTCTTTCAGTTGGCACGATCTACGTGGGAGCTGCTCGATGAAGCTTGGAAGGATGGTACCATGGAATTTGACCTAGATAAAGCAGCATCACGCAGAGGCCAGGAGGTTTCATTATTGTAGATTACGGGGAAGCTCTGCAGCGTCTTGCTGCGAGCGAAGTCGGAATTTTCTCATCCATTGCGACCATAGATGGTTGCGGTCCTGTAGCCACATGCAATGAAGACAATCAAGGCGAAGGAAGTTGAAGCAATACAGTCACCAGCACCTCAAACCAAATCGTGCGATAATCGTTCCTGCAAACTGGCTACAAGCGTGACGATCTATACACTTACAAGTCCCCCCATCACTCTGCCCCTTGATCAGGTAACTCAAGTCTCCTTCAAGCTCTCTTCCCATCACCCATACGTCTTTCCACCTTGTTCGTCAGATGCTTCTGAGCATCCTTGGAGAACAAGCATCCGACAATCGCGATTGCTCCGAAGCCCAGACTCGCCAGATAAACCGTCTCAAACGCCTTCGAGTACGCAGTCGGAAGCACCTTTGCCACGGCAGCCTTGACGGCACTCGTCAAGCCAGGAAATGCGGCCAGTTTTCCGGCCTGCACTGCCTTTGCAAGGGCCGAGAGCTGGCTTGAGGGCAAACCCGCAGCAACGGCTGGGCCGCGAATAGCTGCCGGGATCTCCGTTGCCAGGCGATTTGACAGGATCGTCGTGTAGACGGCGACGGCGATGGAGCCTCCGGCCGAGCGGATGGACGCGAGGAGACCCGAGGCGAGGCCGATATCTGAGGGTTTGCAGAATAGGGGCGCCAGAGCGAGAGATGCCAGCTCGATGAAGCCCACGAAGAACGGGCCGAGGATGGTGAGGGCGATTCCTGTGTTCAGTGTCTCAGGGGTCAGGGACGCGAGCGCCCCGACGAAGCCGACCATGCAGAAGGTCGCGAAGATGATCCAGTACCGGACGTTGCCTCCCCATTTCACGATGCCTCCTGCGCAAACTTGACCAAGCGCTGTAGCACTTGCCACAGTGGACTAATGACTGTTAGCTGCATGCGAGAGACGTTGGTCTGAGGTCTGCTTACCGAGAGCCAACCGCCGTAGGTGATATCAGTCGTGTACAAGGCCTGAACCTGCTGTGGCCATAGCAAGACAGCGGAGTAGTAAAACATCTTCGAATCTGTTAGCCACGCAGAACTTGTTGGAGGGGGTGGGGGATACTTACTGTAGCAACCGTTGCGCAGCACACAAGTGCCATGAAACCACGGTTGGCAAAGAACTTGATAGGGATGGCAGGATACTTCAGATCCGCAAAGGCCTCCCAGCAGAAGAGTGCCACCAGAAGAACGACACCAAGAACCAAGCTCGAGATGGTAGCTGCAGAGTCCCAAGGGAACATGACGCCTCCCCAAGATACACCCATGAGGAGAAGAGTGAGGCCAGCAGTCCACAGGAAGATGCCAAGATCTTTGCATCATGTTAGCATTGAGGGGATATGAGAGGCCAACCAGGAAAGTCAACTTACAGTCCAGTTCCTTGAGCAGCTCGCGCTTGGTCTTGCGGTCATGGAGAAGCTCAAAGGTGGGTGGGTGGTAAAACAAGTACAGGAGAACGATGGCGAGTCCCACGGCGATGATGTTGACGTAGAAACACCATCTCCAGCTGAGATTGGGGTTCTCGACGAATTTCCGGGCTAAGATATAGTGAGCAACTACATGTATCCTCAAATGGGCCTCTCGCCATCAACTCACCAACGAAAGGGCCAAACGCGGAGATGGGGGCATTGGTCAAGAAGATTAGAGACAAGACGACAGGACGGTACTTGTTGGGAACCAGTTCGCCAACGGCAACGTTGAAGCTCAGCTGGACCGTCTCGCCCAGGCCATAGATGGCGGCACCAACGATGAGTGTCTCGACATTGTGCGCCACAGCACACACGACGATTCCGACGATGGCGACGACGTTGCCACCGATGAAGAACCATCGTCTTCCGAAAAGGTCTGACAAGCGGCCCAGGATCGTGTAGGTGAATGACAGCGAGAGAGTTCTGGCAATGTTGACCCAGGAGATATATGGGCTCGGACCTATCTAATGTAAGCATATGACATCTTTTACATCGTTACCGGATGTACTAACCGATATCAGCGTTGATGAATGTCAGCACGTTGGTTGGCAGGATCAAGAAGATGTATGCCGACATTGCTGAAAGACAAAACCCCTAGATGATATTAGTGAACATCCAGGTCTTGGCAAAGGTGTCGACAAACCGCCATGGCCCCTAGGAATTGAGGAGAATAGTAGTAGCCGGGAGGGAGATCATCGCCGAGCGCCTCGGAACGGATCGAAGAAGCATCGTCTCGGTCGGTATCGCGGTCGAACTCACGGTATTTCTCCAGCGAAGCCCCATCGAACTCGCGATAGGACTCGTTCTTGGAGATATCCATGATGGATGATCGGTATATCGATATGCGGGAACCAGCTCGCAGTATGTCGGTATTTCGAATTGAAAGTCGTCACACGGGTTTCGACGGGCGGGATCTTGCGCGCTCGAGGCCGTGCTCGAGTCTTATACAACCTTTCTCGACCAACGTGCCATCTATAAACGTCGACGGAGGACTGTATATGTGCGGCGTAGTGTCGAATGAGGGTTGAGTGACGGGACAAGGTCAGCAGTGAGATGAACCCCAAGGCATGCAATGCAAGTCTTGGTCTGACTTGCTTGCCGTCTGTCTGTCTGCCTGCATGTGTCCATCTGTTTCTCTGCCCGCCCGCCCCTCCCTCTTCACACGCAGTAACGCGGCTTCACCGTCCCACGGCATACGCATACCAAGGTGTCCCCCGGAAGACTCGAACCTCTTCGAAACTCTTTCACAGAGTCTGGTTGTGCAGTCGGGGCCTCTCCCTGCGCCGGCCTGCGGGGAAGACCACCCCACGACCTGAGCACAACAACTTTGGGATTTCAGCATCTGGCCGCGACAGTGGTTCGAATCATTAGCTCGCTGCTGACTCAAATTGTTGAATCGGGACGGGATATCAAGCTGGTGAAAGGCGCTGCACTGGACTGATAGTTGAAACCCGTTTTGGGGCCGGACCGACGGTACACCAGTCTGATGTGATGGGCGATATTGGTGATGGCTGCCCTCACTTCCCATCACCTGGTCTATCTGCAACGCTGACAAAAACGTGCAGTTGCCAGCGCATGCAACCCAAGTCCTGGTAGGCTTTTCAATACTTCGACTATATTCAAAGAAGGACAAACCTGGCTGGTCGATCTCAACTGGTTTCGGACGACGGGTTTGATTAGTCTAGACGGTGGTCGAGCAAAAGCTTTGGGAGAGGAAGGCCACACAGATCTAGTTCGTCCGGGTTTCTCATCAGACGGGATCTTCTGCTTCTCCCCTTCGAACGGCATGTTTGGAATTAGATCCCGTTCATCTTACAATTTGCTACCTTTCCAATGGGGTTCTCGCTTCTCAGAGAATGCTTTGAGGCCCTCAAGGATGTTCTCGCCCTTTTGCAGCTCTGCAAACTCCTTCTCCAGAGTCCACTCGACTGCTCGCTCTACAGATGCCGTTTCCCAGCCCTGCCTCAATCCAGCTCGAGTGCATATAATGGCATCCGGGGAGTTGGCTGCAATCATCTTGGCATAACGCACCGCCTCCTCGACAACTTTCTCCTTGGACACTACCTTGTTCACGATACCCCATTGCTCCATCTCCCGCGCCGAGACGTTACGCCCCGTCAGCGCTAATTCGCTTGCTCTCTGAAGTCCGATGGTCCGTATGAGTCGCGGCAAAGCGCCGCCTATGGCCGCGATGCCCCTCTTGACTTCGGGAAGCCCAAAGTAAGCGTCCTCGGCGGCGACGACGAGGTCGCAGTTGACTACGAATTCGCACCCGCCACCCATGGCGAGACCGTTGACTGCGGCAATAACTGGTTTCTTGCCCAATCTCCTGCTCAAGGGCTTGAAAGCAGGCGCGTTGCCCATGCGCTGGCTTGGATCGGCGTCGTCGGCCATGCTATTGTTCCACTCTTTGAGGTCTGCTCCCGCAGAAAAGGCCCTTCCCGTGCCTGTGATGATTGCGACGCTGAGATTTGGTTCCTGGTCATACCATTTCCAGACCGAGTCCATCTCCCACTGGGCTGCTGTAGACATGGCGTTGAGGTCTTTTGGCCTGTCCATTCGAACAAGCAATACCCGGGGAGCTGGGTATGAAAGCCTGAGAAAAACTGGCGTTGCTGGCTGCGGTGTTTCTGTCTTGAACCCCATCATGCCGAGGATTTTTCTGATACTGCGGTCCGGTTTGTTTCGAGCTTGTTGAAGCAGTCTTGATGATCTTGTGATGAGCCGTGATCACGTTGCTCACTTGGTGATACTATTACGATGTCAACTGCTTGTGTCGGAGTTCGTTTGCATACTCCCGCCCTCTATTAAGCTTCGCGGGCTCGAATAAAGTCGTAGAACACACGACAATCCTAGCATCCGGTCCTCGAAGGAAACATCCCGGATCCAGGATTCACCTAACCCCCACTCGGGCTATTTTCCGTGGCGCGTCCATCGGGGGAGGGTAAGAAGGCTTCCGCCTGCATGGCACACATCCCCGATGCTTTGTCCTTCCTCGACGGCCATTGCGCCAGGTTTCGCAGGGGCTTTGACTCGCTCTCCAATCGTGCTCAGCGGGACACACGTTTCTGGCGTCTTTACAGCGGTTGAAAGAGGGACAGCGAAATCGTGGGACACCCCGCAGTGATGAGCCACAGGGATGTTCCCGCGTGGATTGCCGAGGCGGCTTGCCTATGCGACTCGCTAGGGAGCTTCCGTCAACGGATCGTTAGGGGAGGGGTTGCGCTCGTTCTCGTCTGTGGGAATTGGGCATGTGTGGCAGGTCACTGTGCACTGAACTGGCCGGGAAGTCAGGTATCATTACGTGACGAGGTGTGTCTACGACATCTTGTGATTGTCTGTTGATCAACTTGACGAGAAGGATGATGGAGAGGTACTTCGACTCTTTGGAACACCAGAGCTAGGTATCGAAGCCTCGAAGGTACAGCAACAGGGAGATACGAGACTGATCACTACAGGTTGCGCAGCGTTCCACGGCGTCGGCACCAAGTAACCCAAAGT